TAAGAAATAAACTAAACCTAAGATTAACAAAAGAGATATATCCGAAGCTATCAAGATTCTAATCGAGATGCCCCCCCTTAACTCTATTTGACTACGAAGCTTGTCGAGGGCCTGAGTACGGCCGAGCGTAATAACAGCTTTGAGAGAGAGTAGCCAAAAGGCAGACGCGCGCAAATCAGAAACTGATTCTGTATAACTCAGCAAGTAGACTTCGCGGTTTAAATACCGCTCCTCCTCATTAAGTATTTAGAGTGATTCCAAAACTACGTTCTGGCCAGAAGTAGTAAATTGAAGTTAAGAATTTGACAGGAAAGGAACTTAAAATTTAACTATTAATAAAACTAACATAATTCTTACAATGTCACAAATAAATTTCCAGCTTCAGTGAAAACAAACTTGCCATTGGACAGCTGCTCGTGGTGAGAGTATTTCAGACGATGGTTTCTGAAAGTTCATACTAAAACGAATCGTGGTGGGTTTTTTTTTAATTCGAATGTTTTTAAAAAAAATATTTTGGGTGAATGCTTGCTTTTGCGTGAATTTAAGCTACTTAAAAACTATTAATTTTTATCATGCTTTTTTTCATCCATGGCATATTATTCCGTTCATGATTTAAATGAAAATAAAAAAGCTCAAAATGAGAATTTTAACGTTTATTTTATAGAAAATGTATTCAAAAATAACACCAACATCAAAAATCTTATGGGAAAAAAAGTCATTTTCGTTTTTCTGTGAAAAGAGACTGACCTCATGTTACCGAAATAGCTACGCCCCAATTAGTTCAGATAAACTGAGTTCTACTGGAAGTTGTAAATGGTAATTGAAATCGAAGTAAATTAAGATGTTCTGTGGATGAACTAAAATAGCGCGTCTCATTATCTGTGTCCGTAATGAGAAGAGGATGCTCTCTAACTTATTAAATCCTTCTTCAGCCGGCATCATTCAGCTGTTCATTTTGCGAAATGAATGTCATTTTAATCGTAGCGACTTTCTCCTCGTTATTGTGTGAAACGAGCATTCTACTTAGGTTTCGCTCCTCGGTTTCTCATCCTAATGAAAATTTTACTTTATTTCTATATATGGATGCTATCTTACTGAATATATTTAGTATTCTATTAGTCTGTGCAGATTATATTGCTTCAGATATTGTTTTCTGGAGCTTCCTCCATCTTGTTCGCCTTTTTAAATTGCTATGACTACATTAAATGTTTTCAAATGTAATGTACTGAAGACCGATATTAAAATTATTTGATATAATTGTAATTAACTCTCCCCCTCCCCACACCTTTTCGAAGTAGTTTCGAAAAGGTATTATTTATTATATTAATATTCGAATTAGCTTTTTGTCAATATTCGAATATAGTTTTTTGTCAAATGTATAGCTCACCATTACCAATGACTTAAGTTTATATTTGTCAAAGCATCGTCAAAAATAAAAAATAAAATTTTGCCCATTTAACTTCAAGAGCATGGTTCTCTTCCTGTATATGTACACTAGATTTCCAGTTATCCGGAATTAGTGCGAACTAGCCTACCCAGTTATTTCGAATATCCGGTTAATTAGGCTATCTCTTGTCTCTTTCTCTCACATCCCTCCCGTAAGCCAAATTCATTTTACTGTAATGCAAATGAGAACGCTTTCCTTTTTTATCTGTTTTGTTTTCATTTAATAAAAATTATACGGTTAAAAATAATATTTTTATTTCTGTTAAACAAATTAGAAATTATATTTTTTGACAATAACCCCACCAGTGGCCGAGTTGTTAAAACCGCTGAATGCTGGAATTCCGGTCTGGGTTCGATTGCAGGCGAACGGGCTGGCTGCATTGTGTGTTTTCATTGTTTTCCCCATGTGTAATTTGAATACGGATCAGCTTCCTTTAGAAAGTCTTCCATGAACGCATGTCGCTGTAGGCAGATACCCCTTGTGTACTTTGAAGTATTCAACTAACTGTAACTGATTACGACTTTATTAAACTATGAATATGTTCCTAAGTTGCTTAGACAAGGAACCCATTTCTGTGTCAAGTACCTTAAAACAATAAAATTTCATTTGTTCATGCTGTAAAATTATATACTTAATCATTTTCTATTACTTCAATTATACTCTTTTGCAAAAAATCGAAGCACCATGAAGGAAATGTTTGTTTTAATGAAATTGAATATGTGTATAGCTCATACACACATAATAAAATGATTAAAACATCAAAGTCATAGTACCTTGTTCACGGCGCACAATCACCCAGAGTGTTCAAATTAGTAGTTGGTCGAACCGCTCCTGGCGACAATGCATGCTTGAATTCGTCGAAGCAAGGAGTGGTAGAGGTTCCTAATGTCAACCTGCTACACATTCTGCCAGGCATTCATCAGTTGTCGCTCTAGATCTGCGATATTTTGTGGTCCCCGAATCTGGCGGCCTACCATGCATAACCATGACCTGTTAGCTGAAAATAAGTACAGTTCACAACCCTGCATTCGAGAAACAAGGATTAGATTATTCTGGATTAGAAGACCACATTTAGCGCTTATAGTTTGGACGTGCATGTATCATATGCATAGCTACCATTTTTGGTTTTACATCTTCTGGTCTCGTGGTCGATAACAGAATTTTCTGGTTTTTATAAATTTCAGCCTTTATTTGAAAAACGTTTTCTAACAAAAAATTTAATTTGTTTAATTAGTTAAAAGTAAATTGTTCAAATTCCATTTATCACATCCAGAAAAATTTTTCGTATTAAATTTTATTTGATCTGAATTGTCGTAATTTACTTGCAGACATTTGTATCACTTTTTAGAAAGATTCAATCATTGCTTAATTAATTAATGTTTATATTTTAGTTTTACATCAGTATATGGTGCATTACTAAGTTTATCCACACAACTCAATGTGCATTATTAATTTTATTTTCATCATATTTAAAAGCACCTTTATAAATTAAAGCTTTCATTGCCTACTTATGGTTTTCTTGGCATAAAGGTGTAAGAAAATAATAAAATGAAATTAGTCAAAGAATATAAAATTTAGATTACCTAAATAAATGTTAATATCTTTTAGATCAGAAAGAATATTTTAATAACTGTTATTCATGCCATTATGAAATAAATTTGGGGCTCCATTGAAATGTCGTCGAATCTTCTGGAAACTTCCTGTTTTTCGCGAAAGAATCTCACATATTTCAACTTGCATTTTTGTTTGATATTTCCGGATTGGCAGCTTTGATATGGCGTTGTAGCAGCAGTATGGCAAATTTTGCTTCAATTGTGAATAATCTAACCATTGTCAAGCAATCACACCGGCAGATAATACACGATGAAGACATTATACTTATACAAGCACTAATAGATATGAATTAAATAATTATTATATGATAAATACTAAAGCGTCTAAGCTGTATTATATGATAAATGCTAAAGCGGACCTTAAAGAAAAGAACTGAGAATTCTGCTAATTTTGAAGTAAAAGTCTCTTTTGCTGAGCAGTACTGTGGGCGGAAGTGAAGGGGATATTATATATGAGGCGGATAACAGCTAAATTAATGTTGAAATGCAGGACAATGAGATTCAACCGAACTTGCTTCAGTTCGAAGACTTCGGAAAACTGCTGCAAATTTCAGAGTGGATACCGATGTTAAGAAATTTGGTTAATTTGTATTAAGTTTAAATAAAATTTTATTTCGTTTATTTCATGTGTAATATCTCTTTGAAGACAATTATTTGTAAATCATTTTGAACTCTCAAATATACCAGCCGTCTCCTAGATTGCAGTAGTAAAAAATTTGATGAGAAAAAACACCACATGATTTCGTTGTACGGCATATTAAATTAAAAAATTCGTTTTGAATTAATTTCACAACCCGTTAGAGCTCCTTTATTCTGTCTATGTGTATAAATGTCAAGTTAGTCAAAATGGATATTTCCGTTAAAATATGATACCCGAAATTTTTCGCGATTGCAGTACTTCCTTTACTTCGTACAAAAAAAAAAAAAAATAAATAAAATAAAATAAATAAATAAATAAATAAATAAAATAAAATAAAATAAATAAAAAGTGATAGCAATTTTCGACCTATACGCAGAAATATATGGTCATTTAAAAGATTCTTTAAAAGTGTGTGTATATATGTTTGTGTGTGTATGCAGTGTTGTTTTATTTTTCTTGTTTCTGAATTCAAGAAGAAATTTGAATTGTGTAAATAAAGTAACAGAAAACTTAAATTTACTTGGCGTTGGAAGAATAACAAGTACTCCCGACCATCGCAGTTCTCTAATCGGAATTTTATTGTGTTGTGCGAAATCTTTTTCTGTTCCCCCTCCGTCCCCACAAAAAATCATATAATAAGTGCTTTAATCAATTTATGTATCCTAAAGGGATTAAAATTCGACTGACCTTTTTTTTCCCCCAGCGTCTGTTATTAGATTAATATGTAGCCGCTAAACAGTATTTGGCCAGATATTGATTCATTTTAGCAAATGGTAACAGCTTCGGCAGTTTGAATGTCACATAGGCTACACCTTTAAGAGCGATGCAATTATATAAATGAAGTATAATTGCATTTTTAAGAGAAGGATGGAACTAATGTCATATTGTCTACGCGATATATAAACGTGTACAATTTGATGTGGCTTTTGTTTTTTGTTTAAAGCCCAGAAGCTTTTTGCTGCTATTAACTTACGCTGTGACAAAAAATTACCCCCTCTCTCTCTCTCTCTCTCTCTTTTTTTTTTTTTTTTTTAAATGAAAAGCGAAATTTCGGTGAATATTCGTAATTGATTAAAATTCTTAGGTCTTTTGTAATCCAGTTTAGAATTTCCATAATGTCTGATTAGATAATTTTGACCAAACCAAAGATCGATAAATAATAGTTTAGAAATTGTTTCTATGTAATATATAAAAATATCATTTCTAAATATTCATTGTTGTTTAGTAACAACTGCATCTGACTGACTACTTCGCATGGATTACAGTTTTTAATTTTTTTGTCTTTCCTCCTTGCTTACAGGACGGGAGACTGCAGAGCGGGGACCACATCCTGCAGATCGGGGAAGTGAACCTGCGCGGCATGGGCTCCGAGCAGGTCGCCATGGTCCTCCGGCAATCCGGCTCTCACGTCCGGCTGATCGTGGCCCGCCCTGTCGATCCGGCATCTTGCGCCTCGCTGCGTAGCCACGCTCCTTTGGTGCCCACTCGTATCCTGGCCGATCCGGAAGAAGTTGAGAAGCATCTGGCCATGTTCTCGCAGAATGGATTCTCTGAACCCAGTCCTTACAAGGGCCCAGCCACCGTCGATGCAGCTTTCGCATACCAGAGGGAGCTGGGAGCTCCTGAATACGCACCGCCAGAAGTGAGTGTGCTTCTTTTTTCCTTGTCTTTAGCGGACCGGTCGATATTTTGTGTGGTGCCAAGCGTGTACATGTATCAGGGAATGTGTTTGGGGGGGGGAAGTGCGAGGAAGTTCGGCCCGCGCCACGCCGTCTGTTAACGAACGATGTTTGCGACATCGTTCGTTAACAGACGGCCTAGATGGATTCTGTAAATTCGATGAGTTTAAGAAATGCGTGTAAAACAGTTTTTCCTCAGGCATCGTTGTTAATAACTACTTATTCAATATATGTATAAGTAGTGTTGCCTTTGAAAAAAACATAGTCATTTTAAAGAATCATACACCTGATCGGAAATAAAAATTTACATGAAAGCTAATTTTATTCAGTAATTAAAACACTGTTTTGTATATCTCGAGATACTAGTTATAGATTGAGATTTAAACTAACGCTGAAATATTCGTAAGACTTCTGTAAATATCTGTAATAGAATTTCATCATTACAATGAAGAAACCAAGAGATGAAAAATTTCCTATATTCTTCTAGGAAGAATTTATAAAGTAGGATTTTCTATAGTAGTATAGTAATTACAAGTACGTAAATGAGGCTAATAAATGTTATTTTGAAGCGCAAAGTTGGGTTAAAAATTTTTGAAAGTAATTTTAATGTTTAATCTTAATTTTAAAGTTTGGATTATGTTTATTTCAATTTCCTTGAGTTAGTAATTTCTCTCCTTATCTGTGAGTAATTAAATCCTAATGAATTACTAAATTTGAGAGGGAACGTTATGTAAGATAAACCGATCAAACCGAAAAATCCTCTGAAGTATCTATGTTCTCAAGCTATAAACCCTTTTCAATAAGTTGGAAGTTTACAAAATATGTAGATAAATAAAGGAATAAATTTGCAGGAGGAAAAAAACGGAAGGTTCCCCCCCCCTTGAATTTCAGTATAATAAGATGATAAAAGCAGCAATATTATTCTAGCAGTCGATTTTTACCAGCATGTTTTCTATTAAAGAAAAATAGAACAATACTTTGAAATCAGAAGGTTTTCTTAAAAGGTCACGTAAATTATGAATTGAACACCAACTGATTCAGGTGAACTTTGAAAGTTTCAGAAGAGCCAGAAAAAGGAAACATATTTATTTCTTACCATGATCTAATTATTTCCTGATGCTCGTTAGAAATTCGAAATTGAGAAGTGGATTACATGTGATGCATGCAACATAGAACTCCGTACCAGTTGAGTTTGTCGATCTCACTGACGACGGAATGATGTTGCCATTGAAAAAAATATCGTCAAAATCAAAACTTGTTATTTGTCATGCAGTACAATTTTTTACAGTTTATTCCGAATCACTAAATTAATATAATTTCTAAGAAGGGGTGCATGATTTACATGTTTATGTGATATATACGAATAAAATTTGTTGTAATATATATTATAGGTATATTCATGTATAAGAGTTAACGTCGTAATGCCTTAAGCTAGCAATTATCATATGCTTAATGAGTTACTAGTGTTTCTTAATTTTATTCTTAAGCGTCAACATCAGTGACCGAGTGGATAATACTGCTGAGTACTGGTAGTTCTACTTTCTAATCCTTTTGAATGGGATATTTACAGTTTTCCCTTTCAGTTGAATGAAGTTTTCCTGATCTTGCGAGTGGTATTTGTTGCGGGTTCTAATCTCCACGAATTGGCCTTCGTGGTATCCTTCTGAAATAGGAATAAGAGCTAATTTTCTGTAAAATGCCCTCAACTTCTTTATGTATTAGAAACGGACTACCGTAACATTCTCTGAAATAATTAATCAGTCAACCAGTTTCTCATTGCTAAGTTTCCTCGCAGTTTGAAAGCTAAACGTTTCTTTGAAACACTGAATAAGCCACAATGGCATAAAGCGAAGAAGCAAGTTTCATTGATTTAATTGAATAATTTCTGAGGGTATTCAGACGCAGAAAATAACGTGTGAAATTATTTCAAATAACGCTTTAATCTTAAAAATTAACACTTAACGAAAACAAGCATGCCATGTTAAATATATTGCTTATACAGGGTGATTCGCTACCAGACCGACAAACTTACAGGTTGTATAGGGGTAGAGAGACGACTCGGAATTGCATATGAATGCAGTGTCGCAAATGCCGTAGCAGCGAGCTATGGTGCAAAGAAACAGAGAATAAAAATAGAAACACCAACACATTAATGGGACATAAGGCATTTTATTGCAAGTTTGTTGGTCTGGTAGCGAATCACCCTGTGTATAAAAGTAGAGATAATATATGTGCTATGTAGTTCGTTTAATCACGATTAGGAAAAGAGCTAACTGATTGTGTGGTTGAAAGGTGATAGGATAGTTGACTGTTTCTTATACCTGAGTTAGTGAAGCTGATATATTTCCTGGTATAGAAAATTTATATCGGAAGAGAGAGATTAATAGAATCATTTATTTAAAGTTAAGTGCCGTATGAATACCAGTTACATGTACTAGTAACTAACATCTGTGCCTTCGGTATTGGTTGACCTTGACATCGAAAGTCTCTTGTTGTGGCTTAAATGATAGTATGCGTGTTTACGTAATTTTATGCATTTTTTTCTGTTCAAAATTCAATTCTGGATGCAGTATTCGTATAGATTGTTGGTTTCTGGTAAATTGAACAGTTATTGTTGAATTTCTTTTCGTTTGGGAAAATAGGGGGTAAAATTACCGATTTTTGTAAAATGAAATACTGTTAAAGTAACTTTTGTAAAGGTAACTTTTGAAGCAACCGGATTTTCAGTTCACCCTGTACAATCTTCGTACTCCTTCTTTCTGAAGCTTCAATTTGATAACTTCTGCTGGAATTGATGTAGTTGTCGAACCACCATTGCCAGTATTCAGCGAATCAAATTTTAATACGTAGCATATGCAACCCTCGTGAAAGATTCATTCATTGTGTGGGCAGAAATCTTGAATAACCATTTCACTCGCATAGATAGTTAATAATACCTATGCCAATATTATGATTAAAAGGTTGGAAACATCACTACTCCATTAGTTTCTTTAACTTCAGGTGAAGCTTCTGCAAATTAACCAAAGAGCGATTTAAAGTGTTATTTCAACTCTTACCTTGGGTACTTATTTTACACCAAGGGATAAAACTAATGAAAGAGGTGTTTTGTGGGTGTTATATCATGCGTTTGTCACTTTGCAGGCGCATTGAGGCGCGGCAGGAAGGCGAAAATGTGCCTTGTGGATACACGAAAGGGGATGTCTCTCATTTATCCTCCGGGATAGCGTGTGGCTTCAGTGGGTGTTGCTGAACTCTTTGATATATGGGAGGACAGGGTTAATTTTGGGCGAACATGGCGCAACTTTTATTTATCTCTCTTTCTCTGCTTTTTAGCCTTTTTCTTTATTTCTTGACATTTCCGCCTTCACTTGTGATAAATTAATACTTAACCAATAACAGCGGCGTATATTATTTCGGTATCCCTGGCGCAAGCATGCATTACACAAAGTCGCTCTTTTTTACCTCATTGAAGTGCCTGTGTAAGATCGGTTATTGTTCAAGCACTGTTTTTAAGTCTTGATTTGAAAATTCTGGTCGAATCAACATAGCTACTATTCTTTCATATCTTTATAATCTCTCTACCGCTTTTTGGTTTGCATGCGAAGTAGGATAATAGGAAGAATATTTTCTTGTGAATGTTTTTTTTTTTTTTTTTTTTTTTTTTTTTTTCCAGAATTCTAATAGCTAGTATGCTTTGTCTCGGATAAGGCATGGGCGTTCATGAATGTAATGGCTTTTCGCCATGAGAATCCAAGCTGAGAGTTGTGGAAACTGTTTAGAGATTCCCTAACTTAGTGAGAAATATATTTAGCAACATGTATATTCATAAGTAAGTAGAAAAGTTATTTAGCGTCTAAATCTGTTTGAAATCTTTTGGAATCGAGATGTTTAAGTTCTGAACGTTAACAATATTTATTATACCATTCTTCTCTCTGGATCTCGCTGTATTTTCCAGCACAAACCACACTATCTGGTGATTCTACAGGCGAAGGAAGATACGTAACTTCATTTTCATGTTCTTCAGACTGTAATTAAACGGTTTGGCGAACGGGTGTATCATCATCTTTGAAAGATGCATTTACTCGCACCATTAGATCTGAGCCATTGGCTGGATATGATTATTTAAAATGCTTATGTGGTTAATTATATTTATTCTTTGTTATAACGGGATAACGGAGCTTGCGAAAAACCATGATATAATTGGCCAAAGCATAATTAAACAGTCAGATTTTATCGTAAACTCCTACTGTTTACGATTAATGAGCATTACGTGTTTTACGTTCCTGACACCACTGTAGTCTCCATTTTGTATTTACTTCTGCAACAAGAAGCTTAGAGATAATATTCTGCTTATCTACTATATGTGTCGAAATTGGCTCCTGCAGACTCGTATTAATTTCAGTATCGTTTAGATTTTCTATTTCATCTAATAATCTTGTTTAATGTGCTTCTAACTTAAGTTTTGTTTTCTTCCCACATTTGTGTCTCGCAGACGATGTTTTACGAAGCATAATGCATGCTGTCATGATTTTAAACACAGTACCTTTCAATATTCCCAATAATTTTAAGACTGAAGTTACAGATAACCAACAGTCTGACCTCTTTGAAAGTTGGGTAAGTCGCTTATTTTCCCGCAATACGATCAAAATTTTATAATCCATATTGGAAATCTGCCTGCCGTTTTACACAGTCCTAAGAATATATGAAAAAGTATCATGCGAAAAAAGTGATGGCTGCTCTATTAGGCTGCTGTGTAATCAATCGAAAAAAGAAAAATATTAACTTTTTTTAGCAAATTGTTTCCATTATCTTGGACAGTCCCTACTGCGCCATTGGATGGATATGGTACTAATGTTTTTGGTGTATTAATTAAAATGTTTATGTAGTGATATTTATTTTATATTATTAAGTGATAACTAGCAGACCGCCATTTTACTGCCCAAAACATAAATAGTCCGACTTC